ACACCACCAAACAAACGATAGACGTTTTTATATCGTCATCCGATATATCGAGGGCTATTATATCGAACAGCCCTAGTGCTACTGATGGGACTTCAGCACAGGACGTGTGTGCTCAGCACAGTCCCACTAACGCTGAGCTGATTCCACACACTGGATGAAAGTCACATGTAGAAAATATGATCCCAGAGATGAAAGATGCATCTTCAGTACTGCAGTAGAAGTCAACAGTAAGTCACACAACGTGAGCCCTTTATCTGGTTGTATTTAACTGCCAGTATGTCAGTCAGGAGCTTTTTATTTGCAGCTAATGTGTTCCATTTGCAGTAATGCAGACAGGACCTAATGTCAGCCGCTCTCTGCACTGACAGGCACACACATCTTCTGCAGCACTTTGATCAAAAGTGAGGAGCTTTCAGGGTTCATGGGCTGTTTAAGATATATTTCCAGGCACTCTGGAACCATTTGCAGCGTTGAGTCAGTCAAAAATAGCTGCCAAATATCTCCCTAAAAGAAGCAAATAACAGTGAGGGCTGACCTACTTTATGATAACACTCACTCTAGACCGCACGTTAAAAAACGAATCTACTGCTGATTATTACACTGATTCAATATGTGTTCAGGGGATGTTCATGCTTTAGCTATGAACCCTTCATTTGATGCAGATACAATATTACGTACATATTCATAAAAACACTACAGTTGTCTGCATGTGTGGTAGCAGAAATGCTGAGATGCTGTTTAAACGAATCATTGTTACAGTGAAACTGGATTTATCTTGGAGAGTAAACCTAAGCAGCATTTTTATCCTCAGAAAGTCACATGATAATGATCACAGAATACGTGCTCAGCTGAAGCTGATTTACAGACACTGCTGGAGTAGCAGATAACCTTCAGGTTACATGAAGGCTTTTGCTGTTTATATTAGCTAACTCGACCAATCAGATGGTTCTGTGTCTCCTCTCTGATTAGCACTGGTTTTGGACAAATAGATGGAGACTGTTCCTACTG